CCGCAGAAATTCTTCGCACTAAGAGGCTTTGTTATCTGATTCTTTGCGAGAGGGTGGGGGCGGATGGGGGGGGGTGTTTGTGTTTGTCCAAGTTGTTGTGCACTTAAAGTGATGCTGCGTAAAAGCCTAGAAGAGAATCAAGAATCTGTTTGGGAACTGGCTTCGGGTCCCTTTGGGTAGCGGCGTTATATAAAACGGAGTTAGGCCGGGGAGTGCCTCTTTAAATCTCAATGCATGGTTCCCAAAAATACACCGATATTCATTTTACTTTAAAATGTATTGGGTCAAATTAGGTTTATTCCATGGACCAATTGTTACTCAATTATTTTTTTCCTACTTCTCTTATAGAAGTTGCCTTCCAACAACCAACACCACCAGGAAGCCGGGCAGGAAAAGTGTGAGAGCGCCGGTAGTGCCAGACTCACGGGTGGAGGTGTACGGCAAATACCAGTCAGGGTCCCGCTGGGGAGGGACAGACGGTTGGATGCGCCTGCTGTGGGTCTTTCTCTGGCAGTGTCTTAGCTGGTTGTTGTGAGGAGTGAGAACGAAGCAATCAGCAAGTATACTGCCGCAGAAATTCTTCGCACTAAGAGGCCCTGGGATCAGAGCCATCGCGAGAGGGAGGACAAGAACCTGAATCAGCATTGTAGCCGACACGGGGGCCTTACATGTGCGATGACACTGCAGGATTTAACAAGAGCTGAGGACCTGATACAGAATTTACTTTTTTTGTTAACAATCTACAATATTTACAATTGGATCAAAGAGTCAAACTTCTACTTGTTGTACGTTCACAGTCCTCTGCTGCCACCTTGTGACAGAAATCAACATCTCAACGTGCTTTTTGTTCATTTAACACTGCAGCAATCTGTAAAACCTACGTTGATGTCTTTTTATTTTTATTGAGACAATCTAAAATCTCTTTCAATCAGAAAACATGGCTCGGCTTACCATGATTTCAGATTCATACTTTTCAGTTGCAAATGCATGTTGTTTTTGTCACCAAATATAATTCTGCTTCATGAATTGTAAATACTTTTTGTGGTTGATTCCAAATGTATTCGTTACAGCCTTATAATTAAAAAAAAAAAAAGCAGTAAATAAAAGTGACATAACTTAAAGAATTAGTAATTGGTGTGGTTTTGTTTTCACAGTACACATGCACTTTGTAACTATGTAGAAATATTGTTGTGTAAACACTTTGCGCTGTGTGAAAGCAGCACTTTGAGACCCTTGAAACATAATGTTGCCATGCGAACAGAGGAGACCTAATGAGTGCAGATGAGGCAGAAGGGCCTGTAAGCCAGGTGCACACTAATTTAGGTTTTCACAGACACACACACACACACACACACACAGTAAACGCAGACGCAGCTGAATGTACAGTGTGCTCCTGATTTTAGCTCTGAAATAGAGTTCTCTCTACAGAATCACAGAATCTTTCGTTGATGAATTGTTCAAACTTGATGGAAAGTATTGTGCATCGTAAAACTGTTTGTTGGTCATGTGTAATTCTTATGATAATGCAGATGTGCTTGATGCAGACTGCAGGAAAAAGACACCACTGCATTGCTGCAAACCCCAAAAGAGCTTGCAGGTTGTTTTTTGGGGGTTGGCTGCCGCAATTCAGAAGCAATAAAATCCTGCTCTCACACAAGGTCATTGCTTTATGGCTTTAAGTCGGTCTGCACTTCAACTCTTTGGTACCACAATTACAAGTCCGACAAAGATTTAACAGCTGACATTACTCGCTAATCAAAAATGTCTCAAATGTGTATTTCATTATGGGGGGGCGGTCCCAAAGAACTGCTTGATAATGAGGACATTTACTTTGAGGTGAACGGTGACCACCAGCAGCACATTGTAATTAAATTTGTATTATAACTTAATTCCAAAAGTCTTTTACTGCCCAGAGAGCTGAGACGGTCTCTGTCCTCTGAGGGGGACGGTCTCAGTAAAGCAGTGCGTTGCTGTGGACGTTTCCTTAAATGTCAGTTAGGATTCAGTCAGTTCAGTGAGCAATAGAGCACAGGACTGAGAAATATTGAGACTTCATATGTTCTGAGGAGCACCTTAATATTAACATACGGTAATTAGTGCTGAAACGATCAGTCAATTAAATGATTTTTTCAATCAACAGAAAAATAAAATAGTAACAATTTTGATTCTCCATAAATCATTCCAGGTCCTCAAACTGGAGGATTTGTCGTTTTAGTTTCGTGTCACTACATTAAACACTTTGAGATGTTGCGGTATTGGTCAGACAAAGCAAGTTATTTTAAGAATTTATTTTCAGAAATTGTGACGGGCCTTTTTCCGTATTATCAAGATGTTTTTTTGGGGACATACAATAATCCAGTTAACCCAAAAACGAATTTGAAAGATTTATTGAAAAGGAAAATGATCATTAGTTGCAGTCCAAATGATATGTTTTGGGATATTGATGCTTTTATACATTTACACACAAGAACAGACATGACAATTAAAAAACTAAATCTCTTTCCAGCCTTCAAGTCTGCAGCTGGATTTGACCAAAAAAAATAATATCATTAATAATATCTTTAAATGTATTGTATTAGTTTTTTTTTTTTTTTATGTACTCTTTTCTGTTTTTACAAGTTATTTCTTTTAAACAGTTGTTTTATTACCTTACGCTTTGTAAAGCACTTTTACTGGAATACCAAGCTTTAATGCGGAGTGTGATATCTGTCATAAATAAAGCTTAATGAGCTCTCGTTCATTTTCAATGTAAAAAAATAAATAAAATCTTGAGCAGTATTCTATACTCGACTACTAAATGACCTGATATGTGTTTAGCAAGCTTGAATTGAATTTTGAATGCCTGGAATGGGAAAAAATTACAAATTGTCATCTGTTTTCATGAGACAATATTTGAGTCATAGCTTTAGGGATACACAAGTAAAGAGCATCTCAGCCATAAATAGACCGACGTGAGCCCATTACCAGCTGACTGACTTCTGCTTCGGAGTTCCGGTTGTTGCAGCGAGGAGTGAGACTCGAGCAGGCGGGGAAGGAGGGGTTAAACACGGGAGGAAAAGTTTGTTCGGCGGCCTCAAAAGCAATGGACGAAGTTTATTCAGTCTTTCAGCTCGATTCGCCCGGCTTTAAATGCGGAGACTATGGTAATTAACGACACGCACAGCGCGATAGGCTAGTCTGAATGTTTGCAAACATTACTGCACGTTTGACATCGATCTAATCTGAACGATGGCAGAGGGAAACCACACGGTTGTGTACTTGTCTGAGCAGGTGGTCGTGTTGTGTTCATGCGCGCTGTCCTTCGTGGGCTCCTCGCTGATCATCCTCACCCACATTATGTGGGCAGACCTGAGGACGACTCCGAGGAGACTGCTGGTCTACCTCTCGGTGTCTGACTGGCTGTCCGCCGTCTCCTACGCCTTCGGGGTCTGGAGGGTCTTCCACACCGACTCGGTGGACTGCGTCGCCCAAGGAGCCATATCCACTTTCGCCAACACCAGCTCTTTTTTCTGGACGGTGGCCATCGCTGTTTACCTGTACGTGGTTATCGTGAGAGCCAGCCAGAGGGTCGCTGACAGCTTGGTGTGGTTCTTCCACATTGTCAGGTAAGTCAGTCACGTTGAGTTTGTATGTAGCTCAAGTTGGAACCTGTACCGTGAAGCATCATGGGATAGTAAATTGGAGACCACGGCGCAGGCTCGCTTAAAACGGAAGTAGCATCGCGTTATTCTATTACGTTTGGAGAGCAAAACAAAACCACCTGCTCCCTTAAACTCGAAAACAGAATACATGAGTTGGTTTTAGGTTAGTTCATGTTTTATACTTTTAAACTGTATGTTCATATAACAACTGATGCACAAACTAACTTGGTATTTGTCAGTTTAACTTGATCTTAACCGTCTCTCAGATGATTTTACCACAACAATCATCTCCAAAGCTCCCCACCTTGTTTACCTGCTGTGACAATAAGTCAGAAAACCAACGTGAAGGATATTTAAATTGTATTTCCACTCTGGTTCATAATGATTCATTTACCTAATTTGCTTAAACTTGGATTGAATAAGCATGTTGGCTCTGACTTGTCTTTGTAAAATGGCCTTAACCAGTTTTTTTTTTTTTCAATAACACAAGGCAAGTGCATTTGTACAACAAAGCAATTCAAAGAGCTTTATACGAGACATAAAAGGCATGGTGACAATATCTAAAACACCACAGCGCAATGTAAAAAGAGATATAATGGTATTTAAAAATGGTTAAATGAAATGGAAGTGGAAACAATAAGATAAATTGAGTAAAACAGAATACACATTTCAGTGCAATCACATTGAGAGACATGGATGGATCCCAAATTGTATTTAATATAAGGCGATTTAAAAGATAAGCTAGTGCTTATCTAGCAGATATAAGATGCAGAGAAACAATGCTTCCCCATGATTTTTACAATCTAGCATACTCTCTAGTTTCTCAAGATTACCAGCCCTGCCTTTCAGCATTTTAGATAACGAATTGGGGAAATCCACTCCCGGAAATAATCACACAGATTTTTTTAATAGGCACCGAAATGTAGACCGTAACAACATATTTATTTCATTTCTGTTACATTTAAACAGAACAAAATTATTAGGATATATCATAAAATGAGGCCTAGTTTAGCAAACCACTTGCTTTATTGTCAGCGAGACTCTACTTTGAATGCTTCGCTGTGGTGTAGCGCTGTACAATTGATCTGTTTTTGGACACAAGAACATTTTCACCCCTGAGTACGCCTCAACGCGGTGTTTGTGGTTGTCGTCCTAATTCTGCTTCTGTGAAGTTTCTATTGAATTGAAGATCACACCACAAAGCCATTCATCTTGTATACATACAACACACACACACACACACATCGTATCCTTTTAAATTGGTGTTTTAAGATGAGAAGTAGTGCTTTGTGGGGGGGAAACATTGCTTGTTAAAGTGAGTTTTTATGATGCACAAAGCTCAAGCAACACAACTGGTACGACTCTGCAGAGTGCACCATGCAACACACACCAGCCTTAAGCAAAAGATAATCTATCACATGGTGTCACATGTCTTTGCAACATTTGTGGATGTTTAACCCTCCAAACATCTATGTACAAACGTTGTGTAGATGTTTAAAGATAGGAAGTTGACCTTTTTGAAGAAGTTATGTTTAATCTCCTAAACCCTCTGTGTTTTGTGGTCTAGCTGGGGTGTCCCTCTGGCCATCACTGTTGTAGCCGTGTGCCTGAAGAAGATTGGCTACGATGCGTCAGAGGTGTCGGTGGGCTGGTGCTGGGTCAGCATCCACGCTCCTGACCGGGTCCTGTGGATGCTGCTGACTGGAAAGATCTGGGAGTTCTTGGCTTACCTCACCCTGCCGGTCCTCTATATCCTGATCAAGAGGCACATCCACATAGCGGTGAGGATACCCGCCAGATACATAGTTTCTATGTAGCTGCAGATTACATTCACTGCTCCTATGATATATATATATATATATATATTTCTTTTTGCTATTCTGAAATCTGG